AAATAAATTTACACATGAAGTACAATGAAAACACCAAGAGCACGCTATAGAAAAATAATCTTTACCTCACTTATTTACCTGAAGTCTGCACACAGGATAACAGCACAGTCTATAAACACTTTATACTGACAGCATATATCGTTCCTGATTTTTTTTTTTTTTTTTTTTGTCTTTTTGAGACAGGGTTTCACTATATTGTTCAGGGTGGCCTAGAACTCACTTTGTAACCCAGGCTGGTCTTGAACTTTCCGCAATACTTCTGCCTCAGCCTCTCAAGTGCTGGGATTACAGGCATGTGCCACCATGCTGGGCTTCTGGGACTTTTTGTAAGGCATTCTTAGCATCTCAGTGGTCTTGCTGTTTTGTCAAGAGGTTTTTATTATATTATATAATGCATAATTGACAGGAACATAAAACATCAATAAAATAAATTATTAAATTCTTGATATGTATTTAGAATGGACACCAACATTTTCACATGGGCTGTTCCCTTGCTTACAAAACCTGAAAGATAAACATCAGAAATAAATTCCTACATGAACTACCATGAAAATTCCAATAGAACTCTCCCACCAAAATGAGCTTTGCTTCAACTATCACACGCGAGGCAGTCTTCACACATGACAACTGCAGGTTCCTTGTATGTCTCGCTTACACTGACAGCACGTGTGCTTGGCTTTCCCTTGCTATGTGGCAGCCTTGTTGCCTCTCTTCACTTTTGTCAAGAGCTTCCTAGTACATTGTACAGCATACACTTAGCAGGGAAATGAGATGCCAGTAAAATACAGTATCAAATAAGTAATGAGTGCTTAGAATAGACACCAACATTTTCACATCAGTTGTTTACTTACGAAACCTAAAAGATAACATCAAAAATATAAATCTATGTGAACTACAATGTAAACACAAACAAAAGTCTACCACAGAGATAAGCTTGCTTGAACGGCCACACCTGAGGTAGTCTTCACAAGTGACAATTTCATGTTCCATGCACAAGTATTGCTTAAAGTGATGGTACATATATGTTTGTCTTCCTGTACCTTCTTAGAGGGCACATTCGACATCTTTTTCTGTTCCCGTTGTCATAGTAGGTCTTTGCGATGCTGTGCCCGCCTGTTCACCTGTCAGCTCACCAGAGTGTGCCGTAATTTTTTTGCATAGTTCCAGAAGCATTTTCTTTTTCCTTTGCTGTAAATGATCTCTCAGGAGCTACAGTCCCAAAGAATTTTTTTATTTTTATTTTTTTGTGGCCAGCTCGCTCAGCCCACTCTAGGGGTGGGGCTGCCATGGCATGTGGTGTGGGAATTGAACTGTGGTCCCTGTGCACTTGCCCAAGCAGGCACTTTAGACAGCTGAGCTATCTCACTGGCCCAAGAAATTTTTTTCTGAGATTTTTAAAAATTGTTATTTTCTTTGTAAACTATCAAACTATGCCACACGTGTTTAGGCTTGAGTAAAATACAACCATTGGCCGATGCTTTTGTGTTTTAAGTACATAAAACATAGTTGCTGCATAACTCATCAATAACATCTACTCTATGTTTCATTTTGTTGTTAGAAGTTTCCATCTCAGTTTTCTGTTTTTATTCAAGTTTCCCTTATCAATATTTCCATAATGGTGAACTGTTGACATCAGTAGTAGCAGTTTGCTTTCTTTGCTATACATGAGGCCAATGTTCTACCTTTCTGAAATTCAAAGATTGTTCTATATAATTCTCTGTTCTGAAATAAAAAAAAAAACAAAACTCATTTGGAATTTCTGCTCTGTTTCTGTGTGCAGTTCCTGTGCTGGTCAGCCTGCACCCTGCTCTGGCTTGTGTCTGGGTGACCCCACAAAGCCTCAGGGGCGGCTTCTCGAGTTTGTGATTGATTCTGATCCAGTGCTGGGATTATGGGGGTGAACGCTGCACCCCCCGGGGCAGGCAGCCTGCATGCAATGTAAGGGAGCGAAAGAGCCCTGCTCTTGCTGGTCCTCCCTTTTGTTCTTGCTGCTTTTGCTGATTTCTTTCACCACGAACTGTTGCCATCTGCCATTGCCGCTTGGCCTTGGGGCCCTCCTGAGGGCTGGCATTTTAGGTATGGACTGAGACCTCCACAAACTGTGATCAAAATAAACCTTTCCTTCCTTAATTCTGGTGTCAGGTATTTTGTCTCAACAATGACAGAAGGTAACCAAGACATGCTCTATTAGCAAATGTAACATCAATTGGAAACCAGTAAACCAGCTGACGAGTGTCACATT